ATCTGAACCAACAAAAAGCTTAAACATCTTTTTTAATATTAAGCAGTCCCACTCCCTGGGAGGGTTTAGTGAATATTGTCACCCTAAAATATGGGAATTTTGCAGGAGAGCTGACGTCCTTCCTAAGGTCAGATGTGATGAGATGGAGCCAGGAAGGAAAAATAATTGGTCCTGGTTTTAAGTGTTAAGCAATTCTGCCTCCCTGAAATAAGCAGTATAATTTATTGTTTTTTCTTGCTCACACAGCAAAATCCACAAACTACCGAGACAACCAGGAGGGGAAATTTGTCCCCTCACGTAAATCCATTTTTGCCTCGTAAAGCTGTATTCCCGAGGCAGCAGCTGCTCCAAAGGGCTGATCCCAGACCCCCCATTTCACTGCAGACACCCCCGGGGCTGTTTGGGTTCCAGGATCACCCCAGGACAGCCCAGGTGTGTCGGCCAGCTGGTTTGGGACCACGGGATGGACACAGCAGAGGTGACCGCCAGCGTGAGGCCGAAGGCAGCCGCCACTTTCCCATGGATTTTCCCTTTGCTGTGTGTTTGGAAGGTTACACAGCTGTAAGGCAGACACAGGGGGAGCTGGAAGCCTGCAGGGATCGCTGCCTCCATCCCACATGTCCCATGGAAGGAAGCTCTCCTGTGGACTGACATCCCATTAACTCCTGCTGGTGGGAGCCGATTCCTGCGGCTGGAAATCCTTTGGAGCATCCAAGCGCCGGCTGCTCATCCCGCAGATAACTCCGGTCCCATCCCTGACCCGGTGACTCATATTTATTTTCTCATTTTATAAGAACCAGGCTCTTCCCTGCTCTCATTCCTGGTGGGAATGAGCACTGGCCGGGTGTGAGGCCGCTCCGTCTCGGATACCCGAGATGGAAAACCGGGATCTTGTCCAGCAGGCTGTCTGTCTGCCTGGGAAAAACCTCGGCTCCACACGCTCCCAATCGTGCCATCAGCTGGAGCGAGGTGGAACTTCACAGGATGGGATGAACCAGCCTTTATTCCAAAACCACCTGCGAGGACAAAAAGTGCTTCCAGAGCCCAGGAGAGCTCTGGGAGGAAAATCTGGAGGGCACAAAGCCTGGCAAAGCTTGGGAAAGGGCTTGGTGCTCTCTGGAAGGTGGCAGATCTCTCAGATTTTATGGCATATCCCATCAAATCCAAGAGATGTGATACTGGGAAGGGATTCCTCCCTGTGAGGGTGGGCAGGCCCTGGCACAGGGTGCCCAGAGCAGCTGTGGCTACCCCTGGATCCCTGGCGGTGCCCAAGGCCAGGCTGGAGGGGGCTTGGAGCAGCCTGGGAAGTGTGTCCGTGCACAGAGGAAGGTGTCCCTGCCATGGTAGGGGTGGCCCAGGACAATCTTTGGGGTCCCTGTCCCACCCGAACCCCTCCATCTCTGCCCCCCTTTCCCGCCATCGCCCCAGCCCGCAGAGACTGACCCCCGGGGTCTCCCGGCCCCGCGCGCAGGGGCTGCGAGCGGCAGGACGCGCCGGGACCAGGCGGGGGCGCCACCGCCCGAGAGCCCTGCTGCGCATGCGCACGGCGCGCCCCTCCCCGGGCGGAGGGCGGGAAGGCAGCGACGGGCGGGACCATCAGGGGGGGTCGTGGGGGGGGGGTCTGTAACGGCCACGGGGCTCCGGTGTGAGGTCTGGAACCCTCCGGGGCTCCGGTGTGAGGCTTGTGAGCCCCGGGGCTCCGGTCCGCGGCCGTTTCAGCCCGGGGGACGCCGCGCAGGGAGCAGGAGCCCCTCGTTAATCACACCGCTCCCCCCTTAGCCCACGTCCGACATGGCCGCCCACCCCTCAAGCCCGCCGTGTCCGTGACGGCCCCGCCCCGGTGGGCGCTGAGGGCCGGGGTGGGGCAGAGGGCGAAGGGAACGGCCATGGGGCAGAAAAGGGACCGACCCCAAGGGCAAAAGAGGGTCAAACGCAGGAAAACAAAGGGATTGTTCTGGAACAGCAAAGGGACTGCTCTGAGGGCGGTGAAGGGACCGACCCCAGGGGCAGCTCAGCCATCACAAACACCCCAGTTAGAACAGGGACGGAGCCTCAAGCTCTTTTATTGCCCATTCCTGGCAGCACTGGTGGCTCCGCGCTGCTGGGGTGGGACAGGGGACGGGAGCAGGCCTGGCATGGGGACAGCGGCCCTGCCTGGCTGTCACAGCCCCACCCAGGGTGTCCCTGAAGCCGGCGGGCTCCAGGCGCTGAATTCCCCAGAATCCGTGATGTCCTTGGCGGCCACCTGGATGTGGTGGAGGCTGCCGGGCTCCAGGTCCGTCAGGGTGTGCGATGTCAGCTCGTAGGGCCCCACCTGGGGACAGCGGGGTCAGGGACACGCCGGGCACAGGCACAGCTGTGCCTCAGTTTACCCAGGGGGGTGGCAGTACCGTGGTGGGGATGGAGCCGTTGTCCCGGGAGTAGCGGATGCGGTAGTGGAGCGGGAAATACTCCGGGAATGGCCAGGAGGATGGAGGGCTCCACTCCAGCAGCAGCTTCTGGGGCTCCCCAGGGATGGGGGAGACCCGCAGGGCCTCAGGGGGGTCCGGCTTTACTGGGGAGACAAGGAAGGAGAGAATTCCAGGATGGTTTGGATGGGAAGGGACATTGAGGATCATCTCATCCCACCAGGGACACCTTCCACTATCCCAGGTTGCTCCAAGCCCCCATCCAGCCTGGCCTTGGACAGTCCCAGGGATCCAGGGGGAGCCACAGCTTCTCTGGGAATTCCATTCCAGGGCCTCACCACCCTCTCAGCCAAGATCTTTTTTTCCAATATCCCATCTAAATCCTCCTTTAGATTAAAACCAACCCTCTTGTCCCACCACTGCGTGGAAAAAGTCTCTTTCCTTCATTTTTAGACAAAGGGGGGATGTCGTGGCTGCAGGATCCAGCATGGGATTGTTGGGGACAGGGCCCAGTCTGAGCCCCAGCAAATCGTGGCACTGGTGATCCCACATCCCAAGCAAGGGAGAGCCCCAAAGGGTGAGACTGGAGGGTCGTGCAGGGGACCCCGGTGTTCCCATCCCGCAGCACTCACTGATGTTCTCCAGGACGAAGGGCAGAGCTCCAGAGGCGGCTCCCAGGGGGTTCCGGGCGGTCACGTTGAGCTCGTAGGGAGTGAGGGAAAACACCTGCAGGTCCCCGAAGGAGCAGCTCCGCGGGCCCGTCAGGGTGCACTCACCTGTGTCTGTGCCGTGCCTGGGGACACAGGGACAGCTGCCAAGGGCTGGGTGACACGGGGAGAGGCTTTGGGGACCCCCACTCACCTGTAGGTGGCCACGAAGTCGGTGTCCAGCAGGGGATCGGGGCTCAGCCCCCAGGAGCAGTTCACAGCCTGGGGGTAGCTGCTGGCCCAGCACTCGATGGCCGGTGGCGGGGGCGGGTCTGGGACAGGGGACAGGGGTCACCCCACTGCCAGCACCCCCAGGGACCCCCGGCCAGCGGCGGGGTCACAGCAGGGCTGGGGGCACTCACAGCCCAGCCGCAGGCAGATGGTGGCCCAGGTCTCGCCGGTGACAGGGTGGTGGCAGCTGTAGCGGCCCTCGTGGGCCAGGCTGGCGTTGGGCAGGGCCAGCCCCGGGGACGTGCCCAGGACGGTGCCACCCCGGCGCCACTCGGCCTCACCCCCCGGGCACAGCAGCAGCACCTCCGTGCCCAGGGAGCCGTGCTGAGGGGTGCAGGGGGCTGGGGACACATGGGGACACGGCAGGGACACTGCATCAGGAAGGGTCTTGGCCTCCCTGGGCCTCCCTGGTCCCCCATGTCCCCAGACCCCCAGGCATCATCAATCCCTCCATCTTCTGTACCCCAATGTCCCCAGTCCCTCCAGTGTCCTCACACTTCTCTCCCTTGAGACCCTGTCATTGTCCCCTGTCCCAAATCCCCTCCATCTCCAACCCCAGTGCTCCCAATCTGCCCAGTCCTGCTGTATCCCCAGATCCCCCAGCCTCCATCCCAGTGTCCCCAGTGCCCCATACCTCTGTCCCCGTTGTCCCCATCCCCAGTGCTGCCTGTCGTGCCGTTGTAGGGGACAGTGCAGGCAGGTGCCACCAAAGCCACGACCCAAAGCCACCTCATGCCAGGAGACTCAGCGGGGCTGCCCAGGCACCTGTGGGGACAGGCAGGACGGTCAAACCCCAGCACTGGGGACAGCACAGACACCACATGTCCCCAGGGGGACAGGGACGCCACCCCACATGCCGTGCCTCAGTTTCCCCCTGGCCCTGCCCCACACCCTGCAGAGGGATGGGCTCCAAAGGGGTCAGACCCTACAGCCAGGACAGAGAGGGGCTGAAAATTCCCCTGTTCCTACGGTTCCCCAGGGGGACGTGCAGCCACCCCTGCAGTCCCACACCTGGGATCAGGGGTTTGTGTCCCTCGGGTGGGTCCCCACCTCCACCCAGGGCAGGACTGTCCCTCACAGAGCCCCCCAGGGAAAGGGAGAGCTCCCTGCTTTCCCCAACCCAGCACCACAGGGACAGGTCCTGCCCTTGTCACCTCCCGCCACAGCCATGGTCTGGCTCACCCCCAGAGGGGACATGCTCCGCTTTCCCTGGCTTTGGGGGTGCCCCAAACCCGGCGCTGTGGGGTCACCCCAGACCCCCAACACCCCCTGCTCTGCCCGTGGGGATCCCAGTGCCCCCAAACGCTCACCGCAGCAGGGCCAGCTGGGACCGCAGTGTCCCCGCAGTGTCCCCGCCGGATCCCGGCGCTTCCCAGCCCATTTCCTCGCAGGAAGCGCCGTTCCCGTGGGGCCGGAGCCGCTTCCCAGCGTGCTGCCACCCCCGCCCCGCGCCCCTGGGAGAGGGATCCAGCCCTGGCCAAGACGGTTCCCACCTCTCCCCTGCCTTCACGGTCACCTTTCCCCTCAAGGGACGGCGGGGCTGGAGATGGTGGCACTGATCCCCTGCTGTCCCCAGGTCCCCACAGCCCCCCGTGCCCACCCCGGTGTCCCCAGAGAGGAGCCACCCCATTCGTGTGACTATAAATAACTTTATTGCTGCTGTGCTGGGGGTGGGCTGGGTGCCCGGACAAGCAAAGGGACACACAGGGTGCTGTGACCGACCTGTCCCCCCTGTCCCTGTGCCACCCGTGCTGGCAGGGGCTCATCTGCCCTGCTCCTGCAGCCGCTGCATGCTCAGGATCTGGCACAGGAGTCTCTGCACGTCCTCGTCCATGTGGCCCTGGGGTGGAGGGGACATTGGTGGGCACACTGGAGTGGGGACATCAGGGAGGCTCCTGGCGTGTCCCTGGGCTGGCACCCGGCTCAGCCCCCACCCCAGTGTCCCCAGTGTCCCCAGCCCTGTCCCCAGCTCACCTGCACAGCGTAGAGCAGGTGGCTCCGGTAGAGCGTCACCACCTTGCTGTGCCTCGTCTCCGTCTCCTGCAGCACAGGGAGGGGGTTTGGCCACAGGGCTGGGGGCTCGGGGGAGCCCCGAACCCCGCGGGTGACCCACCTCCAGCTTCTCCTCCAGCTCCTGGATCCGTGCCTGCAGCGCGGCCGTGTCGGGTGGGGACTGTGGGGGCCCCCCCGACTCGGGGAGGGCGTTCAGGGCTTCCTTCAGCCTGAAAACCTCCTTGGAGAGCTCCGTGATCTGCAGGGGCACAGGGGTTACAGGTTACTCAGAGCAGCTGTGGCTGCCCCATCCCTGGCAGTGTCTGAGGCCAGGCTGGATGGGGCTGGAGCAGCCTGGGACAGTGCAGGTGTCCTTGCCCATGGCAGGGGGGGAATGGGATGAACTTTAAGGTCCCTTCCAACCCAAATTCAGTGACTCCACGTGTGCAAGGTCACCATTCTCCTCTGAGCAGCCCCTCATCATTTCCCATCCCCTACCTTCCTGTCCCTGTCCCTGACCAGCCGTGCCGCGTCCTCGGCGTGGCCGTGGAGCTCCCGCAGCCTCCGCGCCTCGTCCTGGGCCTGCTCCAGCTGCTTCTGCGCGGCGCCCAGCCTGTCCTCGGCCGCCTGCCGCTCGCTCTTCATGAACAGCGCCTGCCGCTGCACGCGGAACACCTCCTCGCACGTCTTCTCGTGCCGCCGCTCCAGCTCCTGCAGCCGCTGCGCCAGCGCCGCCGCCTCGGCCCGCAGCCCGGCCTCGGCCGCCTCGTGCTGCGCCCTGGGCACGGCCGCCGCCAGCTCCGCCTGCAGCCGGGCGGCCTCGCGGGCCTTGGCGTTGGCCGCGGCCTCGAGCTGCGCCAGGCGCTCCCGCAGGGCCCGCGCCTGCTCCTGCAGCGCCGCCGTGCCGCGGGCGTGCTCCTCCCGGGGCACCCAGCCCTCGGCCCGTGCCCGCTGCGGCCACGCCGGGGCCTCCTCCTCGTGCTTCCGCAGCCGCTCCCGCAGCGCGCCCAGCTCGGCCTCCCTGCGCGCCAGCGCGGCCCGGAGCTCTGCCAGCTGCGCCTCGGCCTCCGCCTGCTGCCGCTCCGCAGCTCTGGGCGCTTCCCGCGGCCTCGCCTGCAGCTCCCGCCGCAGCGCCTCCGCCTCGGCCTCGGCGCGCCCGCAGCGCTCCAGCAGCGCTTCCTTCTCCCGCGACGCCTCCTCCGCAGAGGCTCCCGGTGAGGCCGCGGCCTCCGCGGCCTCCAGCCGGGCCTGCAGCTCCTTCAGCCGCCGCTCCCGCTCCTCCAGCTCGGTCTGTGCCCGCTTCAGGGCCGCCCGCGCCTCCGCCAGCTCCGCGCCCGGCTGGCCGGAGGGTGAGGAAGAGGAGGATGTCTGCACCCCCAGCTCGCCCAGCGCCGCCTTGCACTCGCCCCAGGCCCAGGCCGGCTCCTCGGCGGGACGGGGCCCCACGGTTCCCCTCAGGCTGGGCTCCGAGGCCGCGCGCTGCCCGTCCCCTCCGGCCCGCGCCGTGCCCTCCCTGGCCTGCGCCCGCAGCCGCTCCAGCTCCCGCTGCAGAGCCTGGTACTGACTGGCGGGCACCGTGTCCCCCGGGGCGGGGGGGCTGCTCTCGTCCCGCTCGTAGTTCTCCAGCACCTGCCGAGAGACCGTGAGGTCACCGTGGGCCAGGGGACAAGGAGCAGAGGGACAGACGGACGGACAGAGGGGGACGTGCCTGGATTTTCTCTCTCAGCTCCTTGTTCTGCACGGTCAGGGACTGCACCTGGCCCCGGAGCGTGGCCAGCAGCTCCTCGGCCGAGGGGCTCAGTGTCTTCTTGGAGAGCAGCATCTCCGCTCCTGCAGGGCACAGGGACCTGGGGCTGTGCCCACCTGTGCCCCCCTACCCAGTGCCACCTCCCCAGAGTGTCACTGGGAGGCTGGCAAGACCTACCTGGGAACTCAAGCGGGTCTCCCTCCTCGTCTTGCAGCGTCTCAATGTCGTAGCTCGTGTTCTCCTTCTCATTCTGGGGGTGCAGGGTGGAGGTGACGCCCCTGCCCCAGCCCTGGGCACTGCCAGCTGTGTCCTGCCCACACCCACCTCCATCGAGGACAGGCGGCTCCGCAGAGCCTCCACCTCCTTGCCCAGCTTCTCCTTCTCCCCGTCCCGTGCCACCAGCCGCTCCTGCAGCTCCTGGATCTGCAGGGCAGGGCATGGAAACAGGGTCCCTTTGGCCCCTCACAGAGCCCTGGTGGCATTCCCGGCACTAGGATCCCTTGGAGAGCTGAGGCCACCTCCAGGCTCTTCCCTGGCCTCACCTGTTTCTCCATGGAGCGCAGGGAGGCCTCATCCAGCTCTGCCCGCTGCCAGGACCGAGGGAGAGAACAGGGAGGGATGAGTGCTGTCCCCATCTCCCCTGTCCCCTCTGCATGTCCCCAGGACCCTGCAGCCGGTACCTCCCGTCTCTGCTTCTCCTGCTGCTCCAAGCCCCGGATCTTCTGCAGGAACTGGGCCCTCTCCTGCCGCAGCCGCACGATCTCCTCGTAGGCGTCCCTGTCCTCCTGCAGGGAATCATGGAAAGCATCGAGTCCAACTCCTGCCACAGGAAACCCCCAAAATCCCACTGTGTGCCCCAGGGGACACCAACCCCCCAGTGAGGGGACCCCTCACCGAGGTGTTTTGGGCTGCTCTGCACCTGCCAGGCCAGGTGAGCACCTGGAGACCCATTTCTCACCTGGCTGGGGGTGCCCAGGGGAGGCAGAGGGGCCTTCCTCTTCCTCGGGGTGCTGCTCTTCTCCCTGACAGATGACTGGCTGGGCGAAGACGTCTGCGGACACCCCAAAGCAGAGGGGGCATCACACCCACAGTGCCCTCCCTCCTTCCTGAGCCAGGGGACCCTCCAGGGACGGCCACCAGCCCCTCACCTGCGACGCCTGCTCAGTTGACTCCTCTTCTGTGGGGCAGAGCGGGAGGGAAGAGAAATTGGGGAGATTTAGGGGTTCAGAGCTCAGAGCTGAGGTACCTCGGCTGGGGACAGCCCCAAACACCCAGGAAAAGGGGACACATCCAGTGACAGCCCCAAACACCCAGGAAGAGGGGGACACATCCACTGACACCCTTCAGGGATGGTGACAGGGAGCCCCGGCAGCCTCACCGCTGGCCCAGGAGCGGCGCTGGGCCGCCTCCTGCAGCAGGTGCTGGATGAGGGCGTTGCCCGTGGCCAGCCCGTAGTGAGCAGCATCGTGGCCGGTGGCGTCCACCACGCCCACGCGGGCACCGGCGCTGACCAGCACCTCCACGGTGTCCACGCTGCCGCTCTCGCAGGCCAGCATCAGCGCTGTCCTGGGCACGGGGAGAGCACAGGTGAGGGGACAATCCATCCCCGGGGCCAGCCCGGCCCCCAGCGCCGCAGCCCCACCTGCCCTGCAGGTCCCGGCAGTTGACGGCGGCCCCGCGGTGCAGCAGGTACCGGCAAAGCTCCGAGTGGCTCATCTTGGCAGCCAGGATCAGCGGCGTGCAGCCCTCCTGGGCAGGACGGGGAGCAGAGGGGGCTCAGATCCCCCCACGGGGCAGCCTGCTCCCGATATCACCCCAGTTTCCATGTCCCACCCCAATTTCCACCTCCCACCCCAATTCCCATATCCCACCCCAATTTCCACGTCCCACCCCAATTTCTACATCCCACCCCAATTTCCACGTCCCACCCCAGTTTCCATGTCCCACCCCAATTCCCATATCCCACCCCAATTTCTACGTCCCACCCCAATTTCCACCTCCCACCCCAATTTCCACGTCCCACCCCAAGCTGTGCTGCGTTTCAGGACAGCCCCAGCCTGGCACAGCAGGACCAGGAGCAGAGGGACCCCACCTTGTCCTTGCTGTTCAAGGGAGCCTTGAAGTCACAGAGGATCTCGGAGCAGGAGATGCAGCCGCTGGCAGCTGTGGGCAAGGACAGAGGCTGAGCACTGCCCTCGAGGGGACAGGAGCAGGACAGGGCTGGCACTGCCCCCGAGGGGACAGGAGCAGGACAGGGCTGGCACTGTCCCCACAGGGACAGGAGCAGGACAGGGCTGGCACTGCCCCCACGGGGACAGGAGCAGGACAGGGCTGGCACTGTCCCCACTCACCCGCCAGGTGCAGCGCGGTCCGGCCACTGCCATCGGCCACGTCCACGGGGCAGGAGGCCTGGGGAGAGAGCCTGGGTCACGGGAGGAGGGGGACAGAGGGACAGACTGCTCGGGTGGCTCTGTGGCACGGTGAAGGACAGGGGACTGACAGACTCCGTGGTGTGGCGGAGTGGGACAGACAGACAAACCCCGTCTGGCTCCACGCTGTGGTGAAGGACAAGGGACAGATCCCTGTGGCTCCCTGGTGCCAGGCAGCAGCACACAGAGCTGGGAACTGCCATGCCAAGGCACTGCTGAGGGAAGGGGGTTCAAGGACAGGGAGGACACTCTGCTGGCACAGCACCTCCCTCCCTCCCTCTGTCCCTCCTCCCTCTCCCTGTACCTGCAGCAGTTTGCTGACACACTGAGGGTGCCCGTGCTTGGAGGCCAAGTGCAGGGCAGTGTAACCTGGGAAGGGACAAACAGGTCAGAGCACGGCCAGCAGGGCTCTGCCAGCTTGGGGACAGAGAGACAGGAACAAAGCAGGATCTGCTGGAACAGGGGGACAACCCCAGGAGCTCATCAAGCACTGCTTGAGCTCCTTTAGGAAACTGAGACAATTTACAGCCCCCCAGGTGTGGCCACCACGTCTGTCCCCTCAGCCTCAACACCTGGGGATGACCAGTGGCTCTGTGTGGCAGGGACACGTGGTGGCCATGCCCTCACCCGAGCTGTCCTTGGTCATGGCATCCACGCCGTGGGCCAGCATTGCTTCCAGGCAGTCCACGTTGCCCCGTGTGGCGGCCAGGTGGAACCTGCAGCGAGAGCAGGGGCTGTGGGACTCTGTCCCCTGTCCCCAGCCGTGTCCCCAGGGCAGGGCCTGGCACTCACGCGGATTTGCCCTCCGAGTCCAGCTTGGTGGGCACCAGGCCCTTGCGGAGCAGGAGCGACGTGACCCGCCCGGCATCGTTGTAGTCCACGGCCTGCAGCAGCTTCTCGTCGTTCTTGGTCCAGTCCTGGCTCTGCAACGGAGCCCAGAGGAGGCTGTGACAGTGTCAGCTAGGACAGTGCTGTCCCCAGGGCTGGCTGTGCTTGTCCCCAGCCCTGCCGTGCTCCATCCAGCCCTGCCCCTGGGGGTGGCCGTGTCTGTGCCCCTCTCCTGGGAGCTCCCCCCCAGGTACGGAGAGTTCAGCAGGGATTGGGATGAAAATCCCCTCCAGCCCCCCCAGTTTGCAGGGGATTTACAGACACAGCCCAGTTCAGCAGTGCCAGGCTGGGATTTAGGAGTGAGCCCAACTGCCCCGGGGTTTGCCCCTGCCACCCTGAAATCCCACAGTTAAACCCAGCCAGCACCCATGGGAGCCCCATTCTCCCCTGATCCCATTCCCAGCCCTGCTTTGCTCCCGGAGGAGGAAGGGATCAAACCAGGGCAGGCACAGCTGGCAGCGAGAGCAGATCCCCGGGGATGCTCCAGCCTGCCGGGATAACGGGGCACAGCGCTGTGCCCCAAACAGGACCGCGGCTGGTTGGGATTCGCTCTCCCTGTCCCGAAGGAGCGACCGCAGCGGGACAGGACCAGGACAGGGACTGCAAGTCCTGGGTTCACCCCGCAGCCCGTGACGACAAAGCGGCGCTGGCTGCGCTGGCGGCGGCAGGAAATGGATGTCACCTTTCGGCAGCCGCTGGCACCTGTCCCAAACCCCCTGTGCCCGCCGGGTGTCCCCCGAGCCCCTGAGCCCGGCGGAACCGGGGACAGGGAACAAAGCAGTGTCCCAGGGCTCTGGGCAGACTGGGAGGGTGGTGCCCGCTCCCCCCACTGCTGGTCAGGCAAGGACAAAGCGGGATGGGCAGGACACGGGGGAGCCCCGGGATGACGGGGATGGGGATGGGGGGCGCAGGTGGGGCGGGGGGGACGCGGCTCAGCCCGCGGGACGCGACCGGAGGGGAGCGGGAGGGGAGCGGGAGGGGAGCGGGACGTACCGCGAAGGAGGCGGCGGCACAAAGGCAGATCTGCTTCATGGTGCTGAGCAGGAGGCGGCGGGAGGACGCCATGCGCCCCCCGCCCCCCGGCCCGGCCAGCACGGGCACCCCCGGGCCCGGAGCGCTCCGGCATCGCCCGGGCGGGGGCCGGGGCTGCGGCACTGCGAGCCGGACCCGCCTCCTCCACCCCCGGCCCTGCCTCCTTCCCTCCCTCCTCGGCGCATCCCTGCATCCCCGCATCCCGCCTCGGAGCGGGGAGCAGCTCCCACGCAGGGCCCCGCACCCAGACCGGTCCCAGTTAAAGCGGGAGAGGTTACGGGGGGAGCAGCTGTCCCACCTCGTGCTCAAAAGCACCCCCAAAGCAGGGCTGAGCATCCTCCTGGCCCCCGAGGAGGGGGACCTGGGACCTGGGAGGGGTACATTCTCCCTTCCAAACACCCCTCAGAGAGGAACCCCAAAACACAGAGGCTCCCCAGGCACTGTCCGAGCAGTCCCAGGACATCGGGAGCCTCTCAGGGCAGTGCGGGGAAACTGAGGCACGGAGCACCCCGAGCAGGATGGTCCCCCAGACTCCAGGTGAGGGGCTTCAAGCTGTGTCCCCATGTCCCCACCTGTGTCCCTCCCAGTGCACTGGGGACAGCGCTGTCCCCCTCTGCCCTCTGCGGCCCCGTGCCAGGCTGCTGCTGAATAATTGAGGAGCATCGACAGGCTGGTTGCACGGGCTGTGGCAGCTGGCAAAGCGGCACTTGTCCCCAGGAAGGGGACAGGGAAGGGACCTGGCACCCGCTTCCCTGTCCTTTGCTCTGCCCACTCCCAGCGATGGCTCTGGGAGCACTGGGGTCTCGATCCCACCAGCCAGGGTGGCACTGCCAACCTCCATGGGGCTGCTGTCCCTGCTGTGAGTGACCACCCCGTGTCCCTGTGACACTGGGGGCATCCTGGGGGAAATCTCCAGGTCCTCATGTCCCAGTGAACATCCCAGGGCAGGTCCCCGTGTCCCCATGGACATCCTGGAGCAGGTCCCCGTGTCCCCATGTACATGCCGGGGCAGGTCGCTGCGTCCCCATGTCCCCAGGGATGGCACTCACATCTGCCTTCTTGAACCTGGCCTTCAGGCTCTTCATGGTGGCTCAGCCTCAGCCCTGCGGCACCTGCTCGGGGGGATGATGGCCACGCTCCAGGAGGGTCTGTCCCTGCCTGGGGACTGCCCAGCGCCCCCGGTCCCGTCCCGATCCCCGTCCCGCCGCTCCCAGCCCGTCCTGGCGTTCCCAGCGCGGCGCCCGCAGCCGGAACCGGAGCCGGGGATTGTGTTACGGCCGCGGCTGCGGTTACAGCCCCGGGCAGCCGGGGGGGCCGGCCCGGGCTGTGTTTGGGGACAGGGACACGGCCCGGGGTGCTGGGGGTGCCTGGGCAGGGCTGGACCCCGATGGTTGGCACCCTTTGCCCATCCCAAACACCTCTGCCCTTGGTGGCACCTCTTGTCCTGACCTGACATCCCCCCTGGCTCTGCCAGCACCTCCTGCTCTTGTCAGCATCTCCTGCTCGTCCCTGATACCCCTGTCCCTCCCTGGCACCCGCTGTCTCTCCCTGGCATCCCCTGCCTTTGTCAGCACGCCCTGTCCTTCTCTGATAGCCACCGCTCTGCCCTGGCACCCCTGTCCTTGCCAGCACCCCCTGTCGCTCCTTCCTTCCTTCCTTCCTTGGCACCCCTTGGTTTTGCCAGCACCCTCTGCTCTCCCTGGGACCCCTTGCCCTTGGTGGCACCTCTTGCCCATCCCTGGCACCCCTTGCCCATCGCTATTTCCCCCTGGGCCGGGGTTCAGTGCAGGTGAAGTGTCGGGGCAGTGTCAGGCTCGGGGTGAGGGCAGTGTTGTGGGACAGTAGGGACAAGGTGAAGGCAGCGCCGGGGCAGTGTCGGGGCAGTGTCCGGGCAGTGTCGGGATATTCTCAGGCTCAGGGCAGAGCCGGGGCAGTGCCGGGACAGTGGCACGGAGGTGTCGGATACTCTCAGGCTCAGGGCACTGCCGGAGCGCTGCCGGGGCGCGGTCGGGACGCACTGAGGGCAGCCCCGCCTTGCCCGTCTCCAAGATGGCGGCGGCGGCCCCGGGGCGTGTCCCGCGGCCCCGGCCCCGCCCGGCTCTTCCGGCCGCGCCGCGGCCGCGCCGATGGCGGTGAATTACGCGGCCGGGCTCTCGCCGTACTCGGACAAGGGCAAGTGCGGCCTCCCCGAGGTGAGCGCGGCCCCGCCGGGTGAATCCCCGCCCGCCCGGGGCAGCCTCCGCCCGTCCGCGGCGCCCCCCGCCCGCCCGGCGCTCCCGCGGGCCCTGCGCGGCCCGGCGCGTTCCCATGGCAACCGCGGCCTCGGCCCCGCACCGGGAGGCACCGGGAGGCACCGGGCCCTTGGTGTGTCCCCAGCGCTTCCCGCGGCCCCCTCCCCGTCCCCCTTCCGTGGCTGCCTGTCCCCAGACACCCCACGGCTCCCTCGGCCCCCTCGTGTCCCCCCCAGGCCGCCCCCAGCTCCCTCCATGTCCCCCTCCATGTCGCCCTCCATGGCCTCCCTGAGCCCGCCCGGCGCATCCCCCCATGGCTCTGTCCGTGTCCCCCAGCGGTTCCTGGGAAGCTTAAAACGGGGTTTGGGGGCAGCCACAGGGACATTCAGGAGCCTGTCGTGAGCCAAGGGGATGGAGAGGGGACAGGGACACACACAGGGTCCTGTTCTCGTCCCTGTCTGTCCCCAGGAGATGAGGCTGGAGAAGCGTCTCAGCAATTAAATCTCGTGCCCAAACCAGTGCCTGGTGTTCCCACCTCCGTGGCTCCCTGTCCCTCGCTGTCCCTCGGCCCTGCCCTGTCCCCAGAGCTGGTGGCACTGCTGGTGGCAGCTGGGGCTCAGCACACGTGGGGCGGCCCCGGGTCGCTCCTGGAGCCCAGCCTGGGCCGGCTGCTGTCAGAGCAGCAAACTCCCTGTTGATGTTGGGTGTTCCCAGCCCTGTCTCTGCACGGAGATGCTCCAGACAATGTGGAGTCTCTGCTATTTAATGTTTCTGTCATTAAGGAAGGCAAAATCCTTCATGGATAAGGAAGAGCAGTGGGTTACTGGGGCTCTAGAATCATGGAATCCTGGAATGGTTTGGGTTGAAGGGACCTGAAGGATCATTCAGTCCTTCAGCCATGGCAGAGACACCTTCCCCTGTCCCAGGTGCTCCAAGCCCTGTCCAGCCTGGCCTGGGCACTGCAGGGATCCAGGGGCAGCCCCAGCTGCTCTGGGAAATCCATTCCAGGGCCTCCCCACCCTCACAGGGAATGATTCCTTCCTAAATAGTCCACGCCCCCATCTCTCCATCCTACGCTGGTTTGTGTTTTCCCAGATTTTTGACCCTCCGGAGGAGCTGGAGCGGAAGGTGCAGGAGCTGGCAGAGCTGATCCGCAGCTCCTCCCATGTGGTGTTCCACACGGGGGCAGGGATCAGCACGGCCTCGGGCATCCCTGACTTCAGGTAGGTTTGAGGGTGGCACCTCCTCGAGTCCATCTTCCTTGGTGGAAGGCTCTGATTTAACCCAGACCTGCCCCATCCCGGCTGGATCCAGCTGCAAACACCATTTTCCCTCTTGCACATCCCAGCTGTTGCCACATATAATAATATGAATAATCCCCACATTGTTTGTACCAACCCCCAGAATCCTGCTGATCCATGAGCTCTGCTCCTCCCAAGGATGGGGCCCTGGAGCCTGAGCTCTCCCTCCCTGCTCTTCCCAGGGGCCCCAATGGTGTGTGGACTATGGAAGAGAAAGGGCTCTCCCCAAAATTCGACACCACCTTCGAGAATGCCAGGCCCTCCAAGACTCACATGGCGCTGCTGGGGCTGCAGAGGGTGGGGATCCTGAAATTCCTGGTCAGCCAGAACGTGGACGGCCTGCACGTGCGCTCGGGATTCCCACGGTACTTCCCAGCCCCACACTGAGGGTTTCATCCCCAGGGAGTCCCTGCCCTGTCTGATAGCAGGAGGGGAGGCTGGAAGGGGATAAACCAGCTGGAATTTAGAGGGGAGAGGTTCTGGTTCTGAGGCAGAGGGTCATGGAATGAAATGAGTTGGTTGTTGCGGTCTAGAAATGCTTCCAGGCGCTGTTTGTGCACAGGAAAAACAGACTATGGAATCATGGAATCCCAGAATGGTTTGGGTTGGGAGGGACCTTAAAGCTCATCTCATTCCCCTGTGCAGGGCCAGGGTTTGAATTCAGTGATCCCTGTGGATCCCTTCCAGCTCAGGACATTCTGTGATCCCTGGGAACAGTCAGGGATGGGGTTGGAGCAGCCTGGGGCAGGGGGAAGTGTCCCTGCCCATGGAAGGGGGGAGGTTGATCTTTTCAGGTCCTTTCCAACCCAACCCATTCTGTAATTCTGTGAGTCAGGATGTGACTGAGGAGCATCCGTGTGTCCTTGGAGAAGGTGCCTCTCACAAACACCTTCAGCCAGAGCTCCAGGGCTTTTCCTGCCACTACAAGCCCCAAATGCTGCGTCCTGCTCCCAGCCCCGTGTTTGTGTGTTTAATCTAAACAGCCATGGGAAAAGCAGCAGGGAATGATGACAGAATTCCATGGTGCTCCCACAGCCCGCAGCCACTGGCTCCTGTTCAGTTCAGCCCAGCTCTGCCTCCCAAATGAGGCCTGTGCTTGAGTAAGCTGAACTGGGGCCAAAGTGGGGGAAATCAAGTCAGTCCTGTCTCAGGCAGCCTGGAGGAAGTTCCCAGTGAGCGTGGGGCTCTGAGGAAAACAGGGAGAGCATGGCCGTGGTTTCCTCTGGCTTCTGCTCTGAGCCTCAGGGGAATTGTAGGAAAAACAGGTGTCAGAGGGCTGGAACAGCACAGGGACAGACAGGAATGTTGGGTGCTGGAAAAGCAAAGATCTGGATGCTCCCAGGAGAAGAGATTTGAGTGGATCAGGAGCTGCAATCAGTGCTGCAGATGGAAACATTAAAATTAAAAGGCCAGGATCTGCTGTCCCTTCCTAAGTCCCTGTTGGGGGATGAACCCATCCCCTGGCAGGGCTGGAATGCAGAGAAGCCCTTGAGGTTCCTGGGGAGGAGGTGGGGTCCCCCCAGGGCTCCCCACCCTTCCCCAGCTCACCTGTGCCTTTCTCCCACAGGGACAAGTTGGCCGAGCTCCACGGGAACATGTTTGTGGAAGAGTGCGTGAAATGTGGGAAGTACGTGAGCCCTGGGGGGAAACTGGGCTGGGATCTCCATTCCGGGATGGGGGCTTGGCTGGAATCTCCATCCTGGGGGACATGAGCTGGGGTTCCCATCCTGGGGGATACTGGGCTGGGGGAAACTGGACTGGGGTTCCCATCCCATTCCAGGCCAAGCTGGGCTCTCCAGCCCCTGGTGAGCAGCTCTGTCCCCGCAGGCAGTACGTGCGTGACGCCGTCGTGGGCAGCATGGGGCTCAAGCCCACGGGACGCCTCTGCAGCGTCACCAAGGCCCGGGGGCTGCGGGCCTGCAGGTAGGGATCCCTCCTGGGATGGGGATGGGGATGTAGGGATCCCCCCTGGGATGTGGGATGGGGGCACGGCCCAAGAGCCCCTCAGATTTGGGAGAAGCAGCCCAAGGTGCAGGAGGATCTCTCTGGGTGCTCTCCATCCCTTCAGTGTGGGGACAGGGAGGGCAGGACAGGCTCTGGTCATTGTCCCCTTTGCCAGGGCAGCTCTGTTCCTGTTCTCCTGCCTTCTCCAGGGAAAACCACGGTCCCTGTGTGTGTTTTGCAGAGGGAAGTTACGAGACACTATTCTGGATTGGGAAGATTCCCTGCCCGACCGTGACCTGACGCTGGCAGATGAAGCCTGCAGGTACTGACGCCCTGCTCAGGAGGGGAACAGTCCCTTCCCACCCCTCCATGCCCTGGTTCTGGATTTCTCCTCCTCCCTGCAGGAAAGCCGATCTCTCTGTCACCCTGGGGACCTCTCTGCAGATCAAACCCAGCGGGAACCTCCCGTTGATCACCAAGAAGAGAGGAGGGAAGTTGGTCATTGTCAACCTCCAGGCAACCAAACACGTGAGTGAGCGTCCTGCAGCGCTGCACTGCTCCTTCCCCCTCCTGTCCCCTGTTCCAGGCCCATCCCAGGTTTGTCCCTGCACGTTGTCCCCTCCCAGGTGGCCTCTCTTAGCAGGCAAACAGGCTGGAAGTCCTGGGTTGGAGGGTTTAAACCTGCAACTCCTGCTAAACACGTAGAGATGGCAGGTAAATATTAGAATCATGGAAAGGGCTGGGTTGGAAGGAACCTTGAAGCTCATGCTGTTCCCTCTCCCATGGGCAGGGACACCTTCCACAATCCCAGGCTGCTCCAAGCCCTGTCCAGCCTTATCCAAGCAAGTCTTAGGAGCAGAGTGAAAGCTCAGCCTGGAGCCTGCTGTGTCCTCTTGGGGTTTACAGCCCAGGGAAGGGCCACACAGGACCTGTGGAGGACACGCTCAGTTCCTGCTCAGATACTGGTGCCCCCAATAATCCAAAGTCTTTAACACCCAGACCTGGGGGTTCCTGGGGTGTCACCAGAGCTCCCTTGTGCCTGTCACACCCTGTCCCTGCTCTGTCCCCGTGTCCCCATCCCCAGGTGTGGCTCAGCCCATACCCTGGCAGAGCCCCAGGGCCAGCTCATGTCCCACTGGGAATGACACACAGGGGACAGGGCTGTGTCCCTGTGAGGAGCCATTTGTCCCCTGAGCCGTGTCCCTGTGAGGAGCCGTTTGTCCCCTGAGCCGTGTCCCTGTGGGGAGCTGTTTCTCCCCTGAGCCGTGTCCCTGTGGGGAGCTGTTGTCCCCTGAGCCGTGTCCCTGTGAGGAGCCATTTGTCCCCTGAGCCGTGTCCCTGTGAGGAGCCGTTTGTCCCCTGAGCCGTGTCCCTGTGGGGAGCTGTTTCTCCCCTGAGCCGTGTCCCTGTGGGGAGCCGTTTGTCCCCTGAGCCGTGTCCCTGTGGGGAGCTGTTTGTCCCCTGAGCCGTGTCCCTGTGGGGAGCTGTTTCTCCCCTGAGCCGTGTCCCTGTGGGGAGCTGTTGTCCCCTGAGCCGTGTCCCTGTGGGGAGCTGTTTCTCCCCTGAGCCGTGTCCCTGTGGGGAGCTGTTGTCCCCTGAGCCGTGTCCCTGTGGGGAGCTGTTGTCCCCTGAGCCATGTCCCTGTGAGGAGCCATTTGTCCCAAGCCGTGTCCCCCTGTCCAGGACCGCCAGGCCGACCTGCGCATCCACGGCTACGTGGATGAGGTGATGATGAAGCTGATGAAGCACCTGGGGCTGGAGGTGCCCGAGTGGACGGGGCCGGTGGTGGTGGAGAGCGCCGAGCTGGCCGAGGGCGAGCGGGAGCAGCTGCAGGGGCGGCTCAAGGAGGAGCCCCTGGGGCAGCACAACGGCCTCAAGCAGGAGTGCCCCAGCCCGGACACGGGGCCAACGCCCGTGAAGAAGATGAAGGTGGAGCCTCTCCTCACCTGACCTGGACTGTCCCTGTCTCACCTGGGCTGCTTTTCCTACTACCGACTTTTTTTTATACCCTTAAATATTGTCCCTTTTTTTATGTCAGTATTAAACATACTTGAATTGTGGCTCGCGGAGCAGCTGCACCCACTGAGGAGGGCCTGGCATAGGGAAATTCTTCCCTGTGAGGGTGGTGAGGCCCTGGAATGGGATTCCCAGAGAAGCTGTGGCTGCCCCTGGATCCCTGGAAGTGCCCAAGGCCAGGGTGAATGGGACTTGGAGCACCTTGGGACAGTGGAAGGTGTCCCTGCCCATGGCAGCGGTGGCACTGGATGGGCTTTGAGGTCCCTTCCAACCCAAGCCATTCCATGACTCTGTAATTCCATGTCACTTGGTCATGGAAGGGGACTGGAGCTGGCTGGATCCCAGTTGGACTCAGGGCTGGGAGCTGTGGGAGGCTGCCCTGGCCCCAGCTCCAGGTTGGGCATGGCCGTCTGTCCCCCCACATTTCTGGGCCCCTCATGGCAGCTGGGCTTGAGGTTCACCTGGCCCACAGCTCCTTGAAACCTTGTGGAGCACCCTCTTTTAAATTACAGCAGGTGGATTTTTTTCCAAAATATCTTATATTTAGAGATGAAAATAAAATTCTAAAACCAAAAACCAAACCAAAACCAAAACAAAACCAACCAGTTGCACCATCAGCAGCCAACCAGGGCAGGGCCCCTCCTGCTTCTCAGCCCCATCCTGAGCGACCTCAGGTCCTTTCCAGAACTCCCACAGTGCCAGGGGGGCAGGAGCAGCCCCTCTCCTCCCAGTAAGGCCAGTGGGAACCGGTCTCCTCTTCCCAGTTCACAGAATCCAAGCAAAGCCAAGCAGGTCCAGCATCCGGAGGCAGATCCCGGAGGGGTCCCCCCGAGGGTGTGTCCTGTAGGGGACGAGGTGCTGGCACCCCGTGGCACCCCCGTGCCCCCTGCTGTGCCTAAAGCTCCTCCGCCGGCTCCAGCACCGCGGGCTCGGACCACGCCAGGGATGCCAGCCCCGGGTGCGGCACAGAGCCATCCCCTGGCACGGCCTCGGCCCTCTCCCCGTGCTCGTGGCTCAGCCCCTCGGTGCCCGATGGCCGTGTGTGGTTCTGGAGGGACCCTTTGGCCGGGAGTGCTGGGGACGTGTCCTGGAACGCCTCGTGCAGGGTCTCGGGGGTCTCGTGCAGGGGCTCCGACCACAGCGGCTCCGGGGGCTTCTCATCCCCGGCCTGGGGCTGGGTGTGAACCACGCGGGAGGCGGCGGCGTTGTGCAGGGACCTGGAGAAAACTGAGCCCCACGGAGGGTCAGGGCCTGGGCCAGGGCCATGAGGGTCTGGCACGGCTCTGGCTCAGCTCAGCACAGCTCAGCTCAGCCCCGGCACAGCCCCGGCACAGCTCAGCTCAGCCCAGCTCAGCCCTCACCTCGCACGGGCCTGAAGTCGCCGTTTGCCTCAGCCTTGCTGGGGGCGAAGGGGCTGATGGAGGGGAAGACAATGAGGGTGAAGGAGAGCAGCAGGACCTGGGGACAGAGTGGACATCACTGAGCACAGCAGGGGAGAGGAACCAGGAGCTGGGTCACAGCTGGTGGGAGACCCAGGAGCGCATCTATTCCTTCATCCCTCCCTTCTGGTTCATGTCCTACCAGTGCACCTCCATCCATCCATCCATGCATCCATCCATCCATGCATCCATCCATCCATCCATGCATTCATCCATCCATCCATCCATCATCCATCCATCCATCCCTCCCTCCCAGCCCATCTCCCAGGCTTTGGAGGCCCCACGCACCGCCAGGCAGGTCCCTGTCTGTGCTGCCTTGTTGCTCGACTGAACCACCATGGCCTGGAGCTTCTTCAGCTGCTCCAGGAGGGATCTGGGAACAGGGAGAGCCCATGAGCCTCCACGCCAACACTTCCCACCCCACCTTGTCCCCATCCCACCCTGGGAACACCTACGAGTTCTGCTTCTCCAAGTGCAGGACCTTCCTCTGCAGCTCCTGGTTCTGAGCCGTGCACGCCAACATCCTGGGACACGGAGAGCAGCAGGGCTCAGGGGACAGGGCTGGCAGGGAGCAGAGTGCCCGGGGTGCCACCCTGGGCGTGTCACCATGCCCAGGTGAGGGGCTGGGCTCTGTACCTGCTCTCCAGCCCATCGATGTATTCCTTCTTCTTCTTGCGGCTCTCCTGGGCCGACTGCTTGTTCCGGATCTTCCTCCGGATCTTCTTCAGCACCCGCTCCTCGTACTGGGGGAGACACGGGGGGTCAGGGCCGCCAGGGAGGGCTGGGACCCCCCTCCACACCCCCCCAGGGGTCCTGGCACCCACCTTGGTGAGGGGCAGCTGCGTGGGCAGGGTCACCCCCTCCTTCAACAGCAGCTTCTTCTCGTCCTCCGTCAGCACCAGCTCCTGGAAGTGGCCCTGGCTGGGCCGGAGCAGGGAGCCAGGAGCCTGTGGCTGCTGTGGGGACATGGAATGGTGACACCTTTGGGTGGGGTCACCCTCCACCTGGCCCCAGGGACCCTGGCTGGGACCATGGTGAAGGTGCCTTGGGCCAGGAAGGGACCGGGATCACAGACAAGGACCAGGAAGGGAAGGGAACAAGTGAGGACAAGGAGGGATAGGGATGGGAATGGGGGATGATCAGGGTGCAGGAAGGGACAGGGCTGGGGACACAGGGACGGGGACTCACATTGTCAGAGCTGCCCGAGAGCAGCAGGTCCTTGACGGTGAGGGCACAGGATGCGGGCGGGGGGACCACGGGCAGGTCCTGGCTCTCCTCTAGGAAGAACCCAGGGTGCCACATGTCTGGGTGAGGGCAGAGCAGGGCTGTCAACAGGGCTGTGTCCCCACTGTCCCCAGTGTCCCCAGTGCAGGACCCTCCCCTGCCATGGCCCCAGGACCAGGGTGACTTGCTGCCCAGTCCAGTGCCCAAACTGTCCCTCTGGTCCTGCCCTAGTGCCCCCCACCACCAGTGTGCCCAGTTCACCCCAGTTCCCAACCTCTCCACACTGTCCCTATCTCCTCCCTAGCCCACCAGACCTCCCAGTTCTTCCCAGTTTCTCCCAGCCCCGTCAATGTCCCCACAGTCCCCACTGCTCCCATCTCCCCAGTGTCCCCAGTCCCCCCAGTGCCCCCAGCCCGCTCCTTTCCCGGTGTGCCTCACCCAGGTCGATGGAGACCTCGGGCTGCAGGACCCCCGGCCCCGCTGGGAGGGGCTGGGCCTGGCTTGGGTCGGTGTAGGGGTACAGAACCTCTCGGGGACCCCCGCCACAGCTCCGGGGGGGGCTGTCGTGCTGGTCAGAGGGGGGGTCCTCGGACACCCCGCTGTCACTGGTGGCCGGGGACCAGCTGGGCGAGTCCGACACCGAGTCCCCGGAGCCCAGCACGGAGCTCAGGAGGTTATTGCTGTCCGGGGCACGCTGTGGGGACAGGGCACCGTCACCGGGAGCACCGGGGTGTGACACGCCAGGGCTGGCACCCAGCAGGGCCAGGTGGGGCGGGCGCGGGCCCGGGGCTCACCCTGTCCTGGGGCCAGGCCCCCGGCGGCGTCCCCAGCTCCACCTCGCGCAGGATCCCGTCCTGGACGTCGAAGAGGAGATCCAGCAGGTCCAGGCTCTCGAGGCTGCCCATGCTGGAGGCCATGGCTGTGGGATGGCAGGGTCACTGCCCAGCCCAGGCCCCGTGGTACCCCCCAGAGCCACCCCCACACCAGCTGCACGGCCCCAGGGACACCCCGAGTCGTGGGGCAGCTGGGAGGGGGCAGGGGAATGTTGGGATTCACCTGGAAGAGCCCTACAGGTGTGGGACAGGATGTGGGGGCTCCAGGCATGGCAGTGCCCCCTGCTCCTCCCAGCAGCTGAAGCTCCCAAATCCTCCAGTTTTCCACCCAGAGCTGCCCAGGCAGGGGGTTCCGCCTGGAGGTGGCCGTGCTGGAAGGGCTGGTTAATCATTCTGGGTGGCCAGGGGAGGGGAGGGGACTGCGGCCACCGGTCACCCCAGGGAGGGGACTCAGTCCCTCACTGCTACCCCAGGCACTGCTCGAGACCCTGGGCTCAGAGCTGACCACTAACCCAACTGGCCAACCAGCCGACTGACATCCCAACTACCCGAGCAGCTGACCCACTGACCAACTGGTTGACCATTCAGTCAATGAACTGATCAAGAGACAGAACAAATGGTCAACCTGTTGGCCAAATGACCAATGGATAGACTGCCCCAACAACCAGCCCACTGACCAATGGACTGACCAGTCAACTCTCTGCCTGATTGACCAACCAACCAACCCACCACCCACCCAACTGGCTCAAATGCCCTCCAAGCCAGCTGGGGACAGTTGTCATTACTTGACATTTGTCTGGCCAAGGCGGACACGGTGGTCCTTCACCCTCAATCCTCTCAGAGGATCCTGATGGCCCCATGGGATCTCATTGAGCGGTGGCAGCCAGGACATACCTGAGGGAGATGCCATTGATTGTCCTCTCAGCCCTCTCTGAGCACAGGGAGCGCAGTGGACAACAAGCTGGGCCTTCACCCTCTTCCTCTTCCTCCTCCTTTATGATTCCCTGACCCGAATGGCAAAGTTTAAACTCCAACTGCACAGAAATAATATCCTAGATTGCAAAATGTCCCAGCCCTGATTGGGGCCGTCAGAGTGAGATGGCAGGGCCACCCCGGGGCTGGACCCGTAACTCATTAGCCAAATGTTTTTGTGCTCCTCTGCCAAGCGGGGCAGGAGGGGCCGGGGCTGCCGGGCGAAGTCCAGGTGCTATAATTGTCCGTGAACCTTCACCCACTTTTGGGGACAGTTTCCCTTTTTCAGACGTCTCGGCGTTAATCACATTCGATGACTGCTGAGCGCAATATCCGGGGACCTTTGCTTGGGCTCCACCACTTGTGGATTATCCAAAACCACCTTGGTGCCCTGTGGTTCTCCTGGAGAGACACCACTGACACGGGATGGAGGGACAGCACACAGGGAATGGCTTTCCAGGGACAGAGGGCAGGGATGGGTGGGATTTTGGGAAGGAATGGATGTGAGGGTGGGCAGGCCCTGGCACAGCATGCCCAGAGCAGCTGGAGCTGCCCCTGGATCCCTGGCAGTGCCCAAGGCCAGGGTGGACATTGGGCTGGAGCAGCCTGGCACAGTGAGAGGCGTCCCTGCCCATGGCATGGGTGGCACTAGATGTGTTTAAATTCCATCCCAAGCCAGCCCATCCTGGGATTCCGTGAGTCCCTCATGGCTGTCTCAGGTTCACACGCTGTGTCCCCTTCATCCCCCTGCACTGAGGGGCACCGGCCCAGCTGCACCTGCGTGCCCTCAGTGAATGGCACCCCGGGCACAGGGACAGAGGGGACAGAGCTGACTAAGGCTCCGTGTGGCCCAGGCGTGGCGCGGGGACAAGGCCACGGCCCCTTATCGGCCGCCCCACGGCCTCTGCCCGGGCAGGCGGCGGCTGCTCCTCGCTTTATGGCCCCACCGGGACCGGGCAAAGGGCGCTCGCCCGGGGCCGCCACCCGGGGCCGCTCGGAGCCCTCCTCAGGAGCCTCGGGGGTCCCGAGGTCTGGATCGGGCATGGAACGGGATGGGCAGAGCAGGCAGGGGCTGAGGGGCTGCTGCCCGTTGCTGGGGCACTAATAAGTGTTTATTTAATTAACGCTCCGCCCACACTGCCGGAACTCCCCGGTGCTCCCCGGGTGTGGAACCTCCACCACAGCCACCACCTCCTTCTGCCCCTGAGAGAGATCTCGCGAGACTTCGCTCCGCCGCGCGTTCTTCCTGGCACACCTAGGCCCCGCCTCCTGTGCCCGTACGAGGCCCCGCCCTCCGGTCCTCCTGCCCCCACCTCTCGGAGCCCCCGGTCCCGCCTCCATAGGCCCGATCGTGGCCCCGCCCCGCTACGGGCCGTGGCCCCGCCCCCAGGCCCGGCCCCGCCCCCGATTGGCCCGCGCTGGCCCCGCCCCGGCCCCGCCCCCGCGCGCCCCCGCGCCCGGCCGCGCCCCCCCGGCCCCGCAGGCGCGGCCCGGCCCGGCCATGCCGGCCAAGAGGAAGCCGGTGCTGCCCGCCCTCAACATCGCCCCCAGCGCCGCCGAGGGGCCCAGCCCCGACGGCTCCGCAGAGTGAGTCAGGCCCGGCCGGGACCGCCCCGGCAGCGGGGCTGGGCCTGGTGGGGGACGCGGGGCCTGGGGGGGACACCGGGCCCGGGCAGAGCGGGGAGGCCGGGACAGAGCGGGCACCGGGCCCGGGGCGGTCGGGGCACGGCGGGCACGGGGCGTGGGGAGGGCCGGGGAAGGCCCGGAGGAGCCGGGACAGGTTTGGGGAGGCCTGGGAAGGTCTGAGGGGGAGCTGGGATAGGCTCGGGGGAACCGGGCCAGGCCTGGAGGGCTGGATGGGCCCGGTGTGGGGCAGGTGAGATCAGGGAGGCAGAGCCGGGCGAGAAAACTGAGGGCTGGGAGGGCAGGTGGGGATGGGATGGGCAGGGGGAGGCTGCTCTGGGCCCCCCGGTTTGCAGGGACAGCTCTGGCCCGGGGGGTGCCGTGCTAAGGAACGGGAGGGAAACGGGCCTGGAGATCCAGGCTGGAGCGGGGATGGGGCTGGGGAGGTAATGGGGCAGCACTGGGGGCTCGGCGGGTGGGAGATGTGGGGTGAGAGGCGGTGGAGGGGGGTACGAGGAGTGGAAGGGATGGGTGAGACCCTCCCGACATGTCCCAGTGTGGCTGAGGAGGGACAGGGGGGTGGCAGCAAATGGGACGGAGCAGCTGGAGCCGGCACAGGCTCGGCAGCTGCTGCTGGGGCAGCACAGACCCCCCTTTGTGCTCAGGATTTGGGGTGGGGGTGTAACAGGGCTGCTGGACCCCACGGAAAGCCCCTCTCATGTTACACACCAAAGCCAAGTTTGGCTCCCCGGGACAGGGAGCAGCATCTGCTGCTGCCTCTTTAAGGGCCAGAGGATTCTTCCTGTTCCTTGGCTCTCCAAAAACGCCTGACTGCTCCCCAGCTCCTCTCCAGAGGGGCTGTGTGTGCTGGGCAGGGACTTCTCCAGCTCTCCCTGTCCAGCTGATCCCATTGTGGGGGCTCAGGACATGTTAGGGGATGATTTTTCCATAATTTCCTAAGAACTGTACCCTCCTTTCCCTGCTGCTGAGCATCTCCCATCTCCTCCTCCCCTCTCCAGGGCTAACCTGGTGGACCTGCAGAAGAAGCTGGAGGAGCTGGAGCTGGATGAGCAGCAGAAGAAGCGCCTGGAGGCTTTCCTGACACAGAAAGCCAAAGTGGGGGAGCTGAAGGACGATGACTTCGAGAGGATCTGCGAGCTGGGCGCTGGCAATGGCGGGGTGGTCACCAAAGTGCAGCACAAACCCTCAGGGCTCGTTATGGCACGCAAGGTAACGAGGGGCTGGGAGTGCTGGGGGGCACCTGGAGCTCTCCATGGCTCGGGGAGGGCCGGCTTTGGTTGGATTCTCTCTGCATTTGCACCTTCACCACCTCACCTGGGTGAGGAGCAGAGGCCTGGCTGCTCCCAGATGGAGCTGTCTCCTTTTGGAGAGGCTGCACTCCCAGTGACAGATCCCTGGGCTCTGGAAAACAGCAGTTTATTTTTTTTTTCCCAGTTCTGATGGACGAAGTGAGTGGAATTGGCTCTCCCGAGGATTGTAGGTCATGACTGAGGAAGTGGCAATGGGAAGGATGGGTTTGGCACACACATCCCTCATCCCTCAGCCCCATTTAACACATCCCAAGGTCATTCCAAGCAGGGACAGAGGTTCCTCAGACAGAGGTTCCTCTCAGACTTGGCTCCATTGGGAACATCCACTGTGGTGCCACAGAGTAGAAAATCAGGAGCTGCTTCACCTGCCTGCTGGGGGAGGCCGTGCTTGGCAGGAGCAGCACAACCACTGCTCTGCCTCCTCCAGAGTCTCTCCTCCCTCCTGCTGCTGGGACTGTGGAATCCTGGAGTGGTTTGGGTTGGAAGGGGCCTCACAGCTCACCCAGTTCCAGGGCAGGGCCTCCTTTCCCCAGCCCTGGGTGTTTCCCTCCCCGCTGTGCTCTGACCCCGCGTGCGGCCCCAAAAGCCGCTGCTCGTTCTCGTGCAGAACCTTCACAGGGGCTTTTTCTTTTCTGTGGTTTCCTTGATCTGGGAGCACCTTCTTACAACACCTCCAGAGCTTGTGAAAATGCTCCTGGCTGCTGACTCAGAGGGGCTGAGATCAAACTCCTGACTCGTCTTTCCACCCGTGTCCGCTGCAATCCCGGCGCCTTCCGTGGCTGAGGCAGCACGGAGCTCTCTGTGTGCCTCCAGCCTGGGATCCCACACTGGATGGGGCTGGAGACACCTTCAATCCCACCCAGTGCCACCCCTGCCAAGGCCAGGGACACCTTCCACTGTGCCAGGCTGCTCCAAGCCACGTCCAACCTGGCCCTGGGCACTGCCACAGCTTCTCTGGGAATTCCATTCCAGGGTTTATTCCCAATATCCCATCCATCCCTGCACTGGGAAGCCATTCCCTGTGTCCTAACACTTTAACCTTGATATTACTCTGCAAATGGGAAAAATTCTGCTCCTCCCCTGAAGATGTGATTTCCTCCCAGCACTCAGGGCTGCTGCCCATCAGTTCCTCTCCCTCCCAGGAGTCACACCTTGCCTGTTTCCTCTCCCTTGGCAGCTGATCCATTTGGAAATCAAGCCAGCCATCAGGAACCAGATCATCCGGGAGCTGCAGGTGCTGCACGAGTGCAACTCCCCCTACATCGTGGGCTTCTATGGAGCCTTCTACAGCGACGGGGAGATCTCCATCTGCATGGAGCACATGGTGAGTGAGGCCCTGCCCTCCCTGCTCCCTCCCAGTGCCTCTCCCTGCCAGCTCAGTGCCACTGGCAGCTCCTTGTCCTGGCCACTCTGCTCCTGGTGGGAGCCACACATTCCTGCCCAGGGCTCGGAATGAGGGAGACAGCGACTTTTGGGAAGAGGAAGCAGAGGTTTGGGGCTTGGCCAAACGGAAATGTTGCCAACCCACTGCTCTGCAGAGCCTGCTGAGAGGCTCAGTGGACACATTCTGTTCTTTGTGGTGGAAAATTAAGTCATTTCTCCTCCAAATCAGCACCATCTTGGCATTTCCACTGATGGAAGGAAGCACGGATCCAACAGCAAGAAGCAGAGCTGTTAAAAAACAGTTCTCAGTGATAAACTTGGGTGATATCAGTTTTCAGTGATAAACCTGAGCTCAGATCACCAGATCTTCTTTTTGGCTGAAAAAGGAGTGTGCTCAATGCACCTGCTGCCCTGTGCATCCAGCTGCTCTGTTTTCCTGCTGGGAATTGCTGTGTTGGTCATTCCCACGTTCTTGGTTTCAGGATGGTGGCTCTTTGGATCAAGTGCTGAAGGAAGCCAAAAGAATTCCTGAGGAAATCCTGGGCAAAGTCAGTATAGCGGTGAGTGCTGGGGCTGCCCAGGCTTTCGGGGGGGATTTGCTGGGCAGGGATTGGGAATAATTCCTGGGCTGCCCTGGGAAGTTCTCTGTTTCCCAGTCCTGGGGACTGCACTTTTCCTGAGCCAGAGCAGAGGGGAAATATTCCCAACCCCTTTCCCCCTGGATAATGTTGGCTTCACTTCGAGGAGCTTTGGGAGAAGCTTTTTTGGGGCGGTTCACCCAAAATCTGTGATGGAATTGGGGATGAATTGCAAACCCTGAGGGACATGGACACCACAGGGCAGCTCTCCCTGGGCTGGGGGCAGAGCTGTTCCCTGGGCTCAGCTCTGATGCAGCCTTTGGTTCCCCCAGGTTCTGCGGGGCCTGGCCTACCTGCGGGAGAAGCACCAAATCATGCACAGAGGTGAGAGCAGGACCCTGAAAATGCCAGCCTGCAGTGCCAGGTGTCACCCAGAGCCACCCTCACGCTGCCCTCTCTCTCTCGCTGTTCCCAGATGTGAAACCCTCCAACATCCTGGTGAATTCCCGAGGGGAGATCAAGCTCTGTGACTTTGGGGTCAGCGGGCAGCTCATTGACTCCATGGCCAACTCCTTTGTGGGAACTCGGTCCTACATGTCTGTAAGTTCCTTCCACCTGGGGTTTTTGGGCTATTTGAGTTCATCTCAGCTGTTTCCATCCCCATCCTGTTCACAGGGACACTTTCCACTGGCCCAGGTTGTTCCAAGCCCCGTCCAACCTGGCCTTGGACACTTGCAGGGATCCAGGGGCAGCCACAGCTTCTGTGGGAACCTGTGCCAGGGCCTGCCCACCCTCCCAGGGAAGGATCCTGAGGTCTGAGCTGCTCCTGTATTTTGGGAATGGTTATTCAAGAGCAGTTATAGTTAGTCAGGGGCTATTTAAAAATCCTGTCCCCTCTGCTCCCAGGCCCTGGCTCCAGGCTGCCTCAGAGCTGCCAGTGGGGATGACTTGCATGGATTGATTTATTTCTTATTTTTTCTTTTAATGGCCATAACCTCAAGGGGATTTTCTGCTCCTCTGGTGCCTCTTGGGTGTTAACAGCAGAGAGCAGGAAAATACATTTTTATGGATAAGCAGAGTCCCTTAGATTTCAGCACACGGAGAAATAGATTCCTGCTGGGTGTTCCAGACTCCCAAACACAAGTAGCTGGGAATGCTCCTGAGTTGGGAGTGTGGATAAGATGCTCCAAGTGCTTTTTGTCTGCACATCATTCTTCTTTTCCATCCCCTTTGCACATGATCCTTCTGGGACTGTCCTTTCCCTGGAGAGCTGCCATGGGATTGGGATATTACAGAATCCCAGGATGGTTTGGGTTGGAAGGGCCTTAAAGGCCATCCAGTCCCCCTCCCGCTATGGCAGAGACACTTTCCACTGTCCCAGGCTGCTCCAACCTGGACATTTCCAGGGATCCAGGGGCAGCCACAG